GACAATGCTGTTGATGGAGGTGAAGTCAGGAACAGAGAAAGCATACGCTGGTGTTGTAGACATTGTCTGTAACTCAAGTGTATCAGAATTACTTGTGCCAATTGTAATGACTTTTATGTTGTTTTCTCTTAAACTTTGTGAAATGGTTCTGACATCATCACCAGATCTACCACCGCTAAATAAGTACAGAATCTGAGGTACACCCTCATGACGTCTGCTCCCAGAGGATTGTGTAAAAATATTTTCTTTAATAAACAGTAGAGCAGCTCCAGTATTCAGTGGCCTTCCACTTTTGTGCCTCATAGATCGTATGGAATTAAGTACCTCTTTTTTGGTTGAGTATGAGCTGAGATAAAAATTAGCTGTGGGATCCCGACTGTACTGAACAACCGCCACCCTATCAAGATCTTCCTCCACATTTAGACTCTCAACTATCCTCTGGATAAAATTGCGAATTCCCTCAAAACCAATTTTAGAATCATCAGATCCATCAATAAGAAATGCAACATCCCTTTTGACAAATTCTGTAATAAAGAAATGAAATGAATAGATTAACTATAACAAAGTACTTTAACAGTATATTCTACAACACTAGATAATGTGTTTAGACTAATCTAAAGCATTGTTAATGCTATTAAGTGCTATAATACATAGGACACTGCTGCCAGTGGCTGGTGTGCACACATACATTATGCAATTAATTAATTTTCTCTTACCAGAGACCTGAGGTGTCATTGTTGGTAGTCGTTGGTAAGATAGCCTGGTTATTAATGCTACAATATTCTCCTGAACATCAAGAATGCTCTCAAAATCAGAAATGAAAAAGTAGTTTGGCTGATGGGATATTGTTTGTAACTCAAGCGTATCAGCATTTGTGGTACCAATACTAAACGAAATGACACCAGTGTTTTTCAAAGCTTTGACTGGACCACGTATGTCATCGTTGGACCTTCCATTGTTCAATAGAATTAGAACCTGTGGCACACCCTCCAAAAGTCTACTCCCTGCAGCAGCAGTAAACAGGTTGTCCTTAACATATTGTAGGGCTGCCCCAGTGTGGCGCAGCTTTCCTCCTTTATGAATTAAACGTTTCACATTATTTATAACATCATCTGATGATGAATATGTATTCAAAAGGAAATCAAAGGCTGCATCATCACTGTACTGGACCACTGAAATACGATCTTTATTTGGTGCCACATTCAGTTTCTGAACCAGGGTCTGAACAAAGTTCTGCATTCCTGAGAAACTTTCCTTTGTTTCATCAGTACCATCGATTAAAAACACAACATCTCTCTTTCCAGCATCTGTTGCAATGAGCATAAATATATATAGTTATGCCACTAGCCCACAACACCATTAAATCAACCACATTCCAAAAAAATAAAATTAAAATCATCCTTACCTGTTGTAGTTTGTGGAAGCCTCCTGGGCTGATGAGGAACTCTTTTTACATATGATACAAGTTTCTGTTCAATGGTTTGAAGGTCATCAAACTGAGGAACAGTAAGGGTATGACCAGGAGTATATGAAATTGCCTG